CGTGGGCGAAAGCTGTTGTCCATCCGCTACCGTCAGAAGCCACACTAGCACTCCAGGACAATATAAGCAAATTTGTTTGCTGGAATTAGCAAGTTAATATTTTTCATATTAATGAAAACATTAATGTCAAAATGTCAACAATACTGACATTTTAGGTACATATTCTTTGTTGTGGGAGGCTACCCTACAAACTGTAGGATATCTAACAACAACTTTCATCTGTATAGATGTCAATTAAAATCATCCCACATCTACAGCATCATCAAAGGAGAACCAACTAACAGCCAATCATCTGGCTATATCAAACCTCCAAAAATAATCCTTAGGAATTTAGTTTTGAATGGGTTAGGTAGTTGTCTCTGGTTAGATCTTCTTTTGAAGTTAGTGATTTTGATTTGAGAAGTACAGATTAAACTGAGCATTATGGAATATTTGGCCTTCTATTAAATAAGCACAGTTCAGAGTATCCATAAAATATAATAAATGAATGTTAGGAGAGTATTTTATTAAATACTTAGCCATTTAAAAAACTGCTTTGATATTAAGTCCAAAGTTCATTGCAATAAAAACAAAGTAATAATATTAAGATGGATAACTTTTTATAGTAATTCAAATATTAGTTTTCTCAAATTCATATTGTATTGGTTTATCTTGAAATAATTATCATAACATTAAACTATCTTCCTTGTGGGTCTTTAAATAATTAACTGTTACACTGCCTTAAGAAAAGTTAATTTTAAAAAAATATTTTTCAATTATTTCTGTTCAAAATATTATGAATGTAAGTAGGTTGTACAATCACTACAGTGCCTGCTATTACCATTAGTATCATGGGCTTTTCATTTTCCTCAGAGCAATTATGTTAAAAAATGTGAAGTTGTGGCATATAACCAGAATTATTATAACAATTAATTTTTATAAAATTCTTCTTAGTTCTGGTATTTGTGCAAACAATTCATCACGACCACTTAGTCTATAAACGACAAAAGCGCACTTCATAAAATGTATAATTTAAAATTCTAAGTCTTTCTTTTAAGCTTCCTGAATAGTATGGACAAATTTTATTTTAATTGGGGTCTCAAATTATTTACTGTTTTTTCACTGTCACCAAAACGTTTGCACACCTATTTTAATTACTTGAATATCTGAGAACATTAAGTTTTGCACTCCTTTCTGTGATAAAGAAAGAAGTCACTGTGGGCTCAAAATAGGTAGACTTCAAAACAGAGATGTTTCTCTCGGTTTGGAGTCAGTATTCCACTTACAAGCAGAATCACCAATCAGTTGGTACTGAATTTAAATACCTGCTTTGTCATCTTACAAGATACAGGGCACTGAGCAAGTTGCTTAAATTTTCTTTGCTTCACCTTTTTCATTGTCAAAATTCACAGCATAAAAATGGGGTGTTGAAAAGATTTAATTCAATGACCGAGGAAACTGGGGAAACTTTGGTGTCAATCAGCCCGTATGAAGAACGTCTCTGTGGCTTAGCACTAGGTAGCTAACCCGAAAGGTCTGCTGGTGGGACCTACTAGGGCCTCTGTGAGGGAAGAGACCTGGAGATCTACTCCCATAACAATTCACAGCCTCCCAAATGTATGGGGCGGTTGTGCTCTGTCTTACAAAGTCATTATGAGTCAGAACTTGACAGTGGTCGCAACAGACATCAATATGATTAGCAATCATAACTAACATGTATTTAATATTCATTATGGGTCAAGCACTTACATTTGCTCAAACAATTCATCATAACTATTCAATGAGCTTAATTGTGTTATAACCCATTCCTCACTTTAAAGTCAGGAAACTGAGGCATGGCAATGTTAAATAACTTTTACAAAGTCACAGAGATAGGAAACCACAAAACTCATATTTAAACTCAGGCAACCTGCTGCTAAGTCTACACTCTCACACACAGCATGAATCCACAATTCGCCACAATGAACACAAACTCTGATGCTCTGCCGCAGCCTACAAAAACAGTGTCCTGGGAAACAGTGATTTGGAGTTGCAGATAGAGCAGGTGTACTTTTCCTGTTCCCCGTTGTCTAAGCTGGGAATTGAAAGGAAAAGCCTCAGTACTCACACATACAAAGAGTACGAGGAAATACTTCCTTATAGGATTTTATGTAATTTAAATAAAATGCTATATTTTATGCTTAACTTGGTGCCTGAGCACTGAATAAATGATACTGAATAGAGTAGGGATGAGTCTGCACCAAGTCTTTTGCCTGGTGCTTTCCCCGACAAAAGCTATATATTAACAACAACCATAAAAAAAAGGTTATCATTAATAAAATCTAGATTTATAAAGGAATATCATGGTTTATACTCTGATTTATAAGCTGTTGAACAGTCAGGTTCAGGATTCATGTTTTCTTTCCTTGTAATGAAAGCATTTCATCAACAAACCATGAAAAACTCTTGATACTCCCATTTTCCTATGTTCTTCTAAGTTCCACTTACTGACTAAAGTGAAGAATTTATAATATTTCAGCACTATGAAGCATATGCTGCTGATTACATAAATAGCACATATTTCCACATTGTAGAATATTCCTGCTTTGTGTCAATCCACCATCAGTATGGCTTTACCCAAAGCAAATTGAATTAGCTTTCATATATAACAATACAAGAGTAACTTTTATTTTATAGAGATGGTTTATACTTCATGTAGATGCCATAATAAACATAATCCAAAATAATATATCCATAATGTATAAAGAATATCTGGATAATTCTTTCTTTAATCTCATCAAGATAGAAGGTCTGGAATCAAACAGGCATACAAATACTTTTAAAAATTATTAACTTAAGCCAATATTTTTAATAATAGTATTCACCTACCCTTCACTTCTAGTTAGCCTTGTTTTCTTTACAAAATTCTCCCATCATTATATAAAATATAACAGACTAAGGCTCCAGTAAACTCTTCAGTTTTTGAAATGAACTAAAAAAAAATAGGATTATAAAACCCTTTATCACGAGAAAGAGTGTTTTGCGAGACATGCATTATATTAGGATACATACTGATGGCAGCAATCTGAGTCAAAACTGAAAATGGTATGTAGCTACGCAAGTATTCCCAAGAGGCTGTATATTTTGAGGGATTTTTTTAGGGTTTCCTTTTCCCTTGTGTCAGGTCTTCTTGTCTATTTTGTACACTGTTGAACGATGGTCAAGGACTGACTGTACCTATTGAAATATGGTAAGAAAAAAACCTGTTCATGATGATTTCAACACTGTCCCCATTCCCCTAATATTCTCAATATCTGCTTTCATAGTCATACACTGAGGAAATGTGGCTTCCTTTGAATCATCTAGCCCGCAGCAGAACACGGCCATGTCCTTGCCAACGGTTCTAGATGGTGCAATCAAAACGCTTGCTTGTATATTTTGACAATCCGGATAGAAATGACTAGGGTTAGTTTTTAATTAAATCTTTTCTCTTAAGAGAAGTATTTATTTATTCTAGCCACATTCTTTCCTAAGAAACACTAAAGGATCTGTCCAGAGTTCTGAAAAGGTTTCCACTGGAAGTGGCTGTAGTCTTCCTGGGATGAGTTCAGGAAGCTGTAGTTCCACGTTCAAATTTATGATCTTTTTAAAAATGGAGATAATCTTCCAGAAAACACATACGTAGCTACAATGTATTCATAACTGTATGGAAGTAGCAGACATATATTTAAAAAGAAAGAAATTTCCACATTTTATAAAGGCTACAGCCCCAAATTCTCACCTTACAAGTGTTGGTACAACTCAACATCTCAAAACTCGTAACAGAATTTCACAGTACATAGAGAATTTTACAGAAAAATTCTACAGTGCTCCGGTGGAGGAAGAACTGCTCCTACCACCACCTTTGGGTGCTGCAGAAATGAGGGGAAAAAAAGGATGAGCTCTCGCTATGTCAGGAAAGACTCAGAATAAAGACTCAAGGAAGGAATGAAAAAGGATGGACGAAGAGGCTTTCCCATTCACCTGTGTTAATTTCTTAGCGGGAAGCAAAGTGTTAGAGACTAGCTGCCTGGCTACTTTCAGTGCCCCTGAAGTAGCACTAACATTGTGCCAAATAAGCGCACACATGCTTGTTAACCACTCTTACATGATTTCCCTCTCTCACCGGACCAGCTGAGGGAGGGCAGGGGGCGGTGACCGGAAATCCGAACAGCTGGTCAAAGAGCCCTCCCAGAGGACCCTGCATTTCCCTCTGCAAAGTCCCACGTGCTGGGTAGGCTTTGGTCACCGCTAGCATGCCTCTCTTTGTGCCTGCCCTGGTTCTCTTGCCCAAATTGCCGTTGTCTGGGCTCCTTACTTGGCACGATGCTAATGCAGGCGCCCCATGGTAAGGAACAGGCTTTGGGTCTAATGGGAGAGAAAGAGCGGGAGTGCCCTACGGAGAATTCAGAAAGCAGCAGTCTAGCTTCAGAGAGGTGTGCTTTCAGCACCACCCGCTGTCCCCCTTCTGCCTGCAGACAGCACCCAGGCCCCTGCTGCCAATGAATCTTATTGGGAAGCAAGTTCCCTTTCTGTCCCTCTCCCTTGCTAGCCTTTGGGGGAGCACAGTCCGTATCCTAAACCCTAGGCACCTACCTTAGTGACCAGGAACCGGGATCCAAAAGCATGCAAAAGCCGTTTCTCATGCCGTCCGCCCCCCTCCCTTCCACCACCACCACTAAACACACACACACACACACACACACACACACACACACCCCTTCTTACCTCCTGCACTCCCTTGCTTGTACATCTTTCCCCAACATGTATAGGCAAGAGTAGCCACAAAAGGAGCAGATTTAAAACTGGCTCTGGTTAACTGCCGCCGCCCCCCCCCCACCCCCCGCCCCCCCACATACACTAAGAGCAACACCCACAAAAAGAGAAAGATGAAAACAAAACACACGAATGAACAACAAACTATGAAATGGAGTAAGCGAATAGCTCCAACATTTGGTCGGGGATCGGGGGCCACTTGGCAAACAGACACTTAGCAAGCTTACCCCCCTGGAAGCTGTGCAGCGGGCAGTGAGACGTGGATTAACTTGCCCCCTGTAAACTTGGGCTGCACCGACCAAGGCACAGAGCCAGCCTCTCAAGTCCCAAGCTCCCCCCTCCCAAAGATGATCTCAAGCTCATCCTGTGGCTCAGTGCTCCTGTGGAACAGCCGAGCTGAGGGCGGCTTGTGCAGCAGTCTTCCTGCTACTGAGAAAGGGGAGAGCAGCGCGGAGGAGGGAGGGGTGGTAGTTTGTATTTATAGAGAACAGAGTTCTCAAGCAACTTTTTGGTGCCACCAAGTGGCACAGTGTGTTCCTTTAGGAACACAGAATCCTGGATGAATCTGGATGGGTGTACCAGCTCGCCAGCCAGATTCTCACATGGCGAGAAGAACTGGGACGTCCTAGGATTTGGGCCTTCCCCTGTGCAGGTTTATATCTCAGCACCTCGGGCATAGATGCCGAAGGCAAAATGGGTGCATAGGCAAATGTGGTGAAAAAAACTGATGGTGCCCAGCTATCAAAAGATATAGGGGTCTTAAAGGTTTGAAGATGAATGAGTGGCCATCTAGCTGGGAAGCAACAAAGCCCACGCCAGCCTGTGTGATCATGAGGTGTCAATGGGATCAGCGACCAGGCATCAAAGACCCAGAACAAACAATCACACAGATGCAAATGAGGAGCAGTGTGGAGTGGAGACCCAGAGCCCATCTGTAGACAACTGAACAGCCCCTCAGAGAGGGTCACAAGGAAGGGACGAGAGGACCAGGGTGAAGTATAGCACTAATGAAACATATAACATTCCTCTAGTTCTTTAATGCTCCCCTCCCCACTATCAATGACCCCAATTCTACCTTACAAATCCGGCTAGACCAGAATATGTACACTGGTACAGATAAGGGCTCTCAACACAAAGACTCCAGGACAGATAAACCCCTCAGGAGCAATAATGGGAGTAGCAATACCATGACGGTAGGGGGAACCTGGGGGGAGACGTGGGGAATCATTCACAATGATCAACATAAAACCACCCCAACCCCTCCCCCCAGGGGGACAAACAACAGAAACGTGGGTGAAGGGAAACAGCGGTCATTGTAAGATATGAAAATAATAGTAGTTTATAAATTATCAAGGGTTGGGGAGGGAAAGAAGTTGGGGGAGGGAAGAAAAAATGAGGTGTTGCTACCAAGGACTCAAGTAGAAAAACAAAATGTTTTGAAAGGATGATGGCAACATATGTACAAATGTGCTCGACACAATGGATGTGTGGATTGTTATAAGAGCAGTAAGAGCCCCCAATAAAATGATTCATTAAAAAAAAAAAGAAGAATGGGCTGGTATTGTGGGAGGTAGGGCCGCCTTCATGCAAGTGCCTGAAGAAGCAAGGGAAGTGGGCTGGTGTCAGTTGTCTCAGAAGAGCCTAGAATCCCTTGCCCCCTGGGAAGAGCTGTTCTCTTTACCCTCCTCACCTCTCTGCCCAGTTTACAATAGATTCAGATAGGATTCTGAAACCATGCTGCCATACTGAATGCCCAGTCTTTACATTGGAATGCCACTCAGTTTCCGTTCCTCAGAGCCAAATCCAGATTATCTCCCAATACCTTAAATTCTACAAACTCTCCTGCCAGCCATGACACCTTCTTTGACAATTGCTAGCTTAAAGTTTAAAAAAAAAGAAAGAAAGAAAAGATGGACTAGGTTCTGTGAATCAGAACCTCTCAAAACAGCTCCCAAAGATCCACTTCCCCTTGGCTGCAGACCAGGGATTTCACCGTCCTCTCCACCTAAGGCCACAGAGTTGGCAGCCTGCATCCCCTAAACAACACAGGTAGGAGCTCAGAACTACCTGTGATCCTTTGGGAGAGAACAGCCCCAAAGCTTCCTTCACCCAGCTTTTCCCCAGGGCTCCTGTTTATACGGAGATCCCTAAATCCACACAGTCACAGACATTCACTACTGCGTGGAACCTTAGTGATCATCCACCTGAAAGCAACCTCTGGGTTTTTTGCAGAGGGGAAATCTGAGTACACAAATGTTAAGGGACTTCAAGGTCACCCATTTCCCCAGGAGCCAACACAGTGCCTACTGGGGGTGGGACTGAATGAATACAGTCATGGAAAACCTGACTATCAGGCCCTGGCTCCTTCCACCAATCTATTCAGCCCAGCCAGTCATATGGACCTCTGTCTGTTCTTCCATTCCTATCCCCACATCCCTTTCTCTGTCACCATCCTTTTGCCAAAGTCCCATAAAGGAACCTGAAGCAAGACGCCTTCTCTCACCCCGGGAAGTATTTCAACCTAAATGTATAGAGGTCTAGAGCGGCACATTGACTCCCTGAAAAATGGCCTCGAGTTCAAAACTCCCTCCCTCCAGCAGTACTCTCATCTTGTCGAAGTGTCATTTTAGAAATAGATCACGGGCACCCTCACTAACCAGGTCCCTCTTGCGCTGCTTCTCTCCAGTATGAAGCACCTGCAAGTGTTCCTTTCACCAGCACCGCCAAACCTAATGCCCTCCAAGATAGAGCAAGACCCACCCACCCCGCTTTGCCGAATGCACGCCTTGGTGCACATGTATCGGTATGCAACAGACACACATAAACACACTCACACACACAGAGAAAGAGAAAGATCCAAACGCCTCCTTTGGCTCAGATCTCTATTTTCCCCCCCCTCTTCTTTTTTTTAGTTCGTTTTCTATGGAAACGAGCCCCCTTAAATACCTCCTTTATGCAAATACCAGCAACCCGATCCTCTCACACACCTCCCCTTGGAGCGGCGCCGCGGTGGCCGCGGATCCAGGCTCCACATTCCCGTCTGCTGCGCCCAGCACGCGTCCTTGCAGGGTGACTTTCCGAAAACTTGCAGGACCTCGAGCGTCCCTGGCTCCACCGGCCCGCCACCTGCCCTCCTGGGTCCCTGTCCAAGCCAAGCGCCCGCCCCTGGGCGGGGGGCTCCCC